CTTTTTTGTAGAGGTTTTTGCCTTAGGGGGTGTGCCCTCACGAGAGAGAGGCAGATGGTGAGAAGGAAAGTTAGAAATCAGCCCCTGGGGATAGCCAGTCACAATCCCTGTTCATCTTCTCCCAGGACCTTGGGCACACACACGGGCCCAGTGTAAGTTTCAAAAAGCCACCGGGTCTGGGACTTGAAATGCTGTTGGCCATGTGGGAGTCCAGCGACAAACCATTATGCCATCTATCGGCCTTAGGTATTCTTCTAAGGTTTTTGCCATAGAACGCGTGTGCTTGCTGGAGAGAGACAGAGACAGTGAGAGAGAAAGTGAGAAATCACCCTGGGGGAGTGCTCACACTGCAGTCCTTTCTCCATTCTCCTTCTGGGACTTTGAGCGTGCACACACGTACATGCACACGCACTGGGTGTGACTTTCAAGCTGCCAGATCTGGGGCTGTGGTCCTCCTGGTGGGAGCCAGTGCCTCAACCACTACGCCACCAGCTGGTGGTCGTCCTCCACACCTGTGTTCTGACGAGGCCCAGTGCGTGCTCATTCGTCCTACGCTTCATCAGTGGTTTGGCTGGATACCGCGTTCGTGCCAGAACATGAGTTCCCTCAGGTATTCGAGGCCAGTGCTCTTTCTTTCTTTCTTTTTTTTTCTTGAGAGGCCAGCAGATGGCATGGCATTACATTGCTGGACTCCCACGTGGCTGACTGCAGTTCAAGTCCCAGACCTGGGACTTGAAACTCACGCTGGGCACATGTGTGTGCATGCCCATAATCCCAGGAGGGGAGTAGAGGAGAAGGGACTGCAGTGTGGCCATCCCCTCGAGGGGTGATTTCTTGCTTTCCCTCTCACTGTCTCTGTCTCTCCTCTCTGGCCAGCACACATGCCCTGTGGCAAATGCCTCAAAAAGCTTTTTTTTTTTGGTGGAAAATTTAAAAAATATCTCGGGACCAGCAGTTAGCGTAATGGCTATGTCGCTGGACTCCCATGTAGTCGATCACGGTTCGCGTCCCGGACCCGGTGGCTTAAACTCATGCCGGGCGCGTGTGCGTGCGTGCCCAAGATCCCCAGAGGAGAATGGAGGAGAAGGGATTGCGGCTTGGCCATCCCCCCTGGGGGGTGATTTCTCTCTTTCTGTCTCTGTCTCTCTCTGTCTGGCTGGCAAGCACATGCACCCTATAGCAAAATCCTCTCCAAAAAAAAAAAAAATCTCTCCACAATTTCTTCACATACATCAAAGGTGTGAGAAACCCACGTGAGGTTTTCGCCATTTCTATGTGGAGGCTTGAGAAAACTCATGGACACATGGAATTAAAGTACAAGTTTATCTTGGTGCAAAGAATGTAGAAACCCATACAGGTTTTCACAGCATGCGTTCCCAGCCTTTTGGAAGACCTAGGTATTGGCGGCGTCTGGAGGCTGCAGCCCCTGGCAGGCAGCGTGGGGCCTTTCTCCCCCACTGTCCTCGGCCGTGTTTCATGGCTTCTGCCCGGACGCTGCCTTGGCCCAGGAGGTCTCCCTGTGCTCGGGCTGGCGCGGATGCCTCCAGCCTGCCCTACTCCTCTCCCTGCTCCGACCCACCCCTCTTCCCAGGGCTCCCTGTGCTGAGCAGAGTCAGCCCCCAGCTGCCCACGAAGCCTGACGCCCTTTCCAGTGTAAGGACCCTCTTTCTGGACTCTGTCACCGCAGCTAGTCTCGTTTTGTGGGTGTGGCTCTCTTGCAGCCCTCTGAAGAGGCCAGACTTTTCCCTTCACCTTTTTTTTTAAAGAGTTTTTGCTATAGGGTGTGTGTACCTGTCAGAGAGAGACAGAGGGACCGTGAAAATTCATCCTCTGGGGGATGCCACGCTGCAATCCCTTCTCCATTCTTCTTCTGGAATTTTGGGCAGGCATGCACACACACACGCCCCCGTGATTTTGAAGCCATGGGTTCAGGACTCCAACTGCAGCCCGCCATGTGGGAGTCCAGCACTGTTACCACTATGTGCATCCCCTGCTGGCCCCTAGAATTTCTTTACGGGCCCTCCTTGGGGTCCTGGACTCACTCCAGCAGGGCCGTGGCTGCGTGGGCACCTGAGGCCTTCTCTCCCAGGAAGTCTTGCTGTCCTGAGAGGCGGGTGGGCGTCTCTGGGTGCTGGGGGTGAAGTCCTGTGCGTAGTGCAGGTGCCTGGCTCAGCCGTTCTTAGCAGAGGCCTGGCTGTGGGTTCTGGGTTCTGGCGAGCAGGCGGGTCTGCCCACTGCAGGCCTCCGTGTGGTGTCAGCGTTCCCCTGGAGGTGGCTAGTGTCTGCCGCCGGGCAGGGCACTACCAGGGCCGAGGTCTCCTCCAGACCCCGAACTCCTCCACTAGAGGGCTCCTGATCGCAGGCTCAGCCGGTCCTGGGCCGCCCAGGGGCGGAGGGAAGGCCTCTCCCGCGGGCCCTAACGGCCACTCCGCGCCGGT